AGAGCTGCATATGTGAACAAGTGTCAGAAAAACAGCACATGAAATTATAATTTTTCATGTTGTATCCTCTTTCATTCTACCATGCTTCGCAGACCAACTGTAACTCCCCGAGTACAGACTGAATGGAACAGTAAATTTCTAGCTGTCCAAAAAAGGCTAGCAGAGGAAAAATTAGATGAGATGTAATTCCCTGCAGTGGCTCTCTGCAACGTTGTGCCTGGGCATGGAACAATGGCCACATTTTGCCTGATGTGTGCCACGTGCTTCTCCTTGTCCTGGGAGGAATTCAGCCTCAGCAAAAAACCTCCTGCAGGTTCTGCCTGCAAACAGTTGCTCTGCACCCTGCATCCTCAGGGCAAAAAGTGCAAAGTTTTCCAGCAAGGAAACTGTGAGGCAATAGCACTGGTGCCTAAAAATACATCAGAGAAGAATAAACACCAGGGAGAGAAAAGTTATTTAAGCCAAAGGACAATGTTGGCATAAGAACAAACAGGTCATCTTGAGATGCACAGGATAGGCGGTTCTGGTGACACTAAGATACCAAAATCTTAAACAACTTTAAGAGAAAGCAACAGTAATCTTTACTCCCACAGGCAGGCAATTTCTCCAGAAGGCCATTGTTATTAACTGAAAGGGTGACGTGAAGCCCAGATACCAAACACCAGAAATAAAAGTGTTTGCTTTCTTGTTGAAATAGAACCAAACAAGGAAGAAGTTATTTCGTGTGGTCACTGACAGGGCTTCTTTTTTTCAGCTACAGGTAGGTGTCGGTGTGTCCCTGCCCTTTCAAAAGGATTGTCTTCAGAGACTCTCATGGCACAATTTGTGCATAGGGTTATTGTGACTGTCCACAGCAGTGATAAACAAGACTTTCCCACTGAAGGAAAAACCTAAGTTTTAGTATCCCTACTGAACTGATTGGAGAAGAGTCTGAAACTGACTAATAAACCATCAAATGCTTTTTGCTGTCATGGACTAAGTGAAGATCAGAAGAAACTATGTACGTCTCACTTGTACCATGTGTTTCAGGGCATTAGAAGAGAACACAGAAGCGCCTATTTCTCTCTGATGCAACTCATTCAAAGCCAACAGATCTGTGCCCGGAATCAATTCACTCAGAGACATCTAGGATATTATGCATGGTATTAATTTCACTGATAATCCAAATCTTAATGAGCTGTTGCTTGCAAATCACTTTGAACCTGTGGACAGCTCTGGGATTAAGGGTCATTCACTCTGTCTTTTACAATCCATGCAAAGGATATAAAACTGTAGGCCAATGTAGTACCATTTGCTAATCAATAATTAATATCTTCATTACCATCAGAATTTAGTAATAATCCATTTGCAATAGAATTAAAGCAAATAAAACAAGATTATGTAACACTGTGTAGCATCAAAGCACCCTGAAGTGGTACTAAAATACCGCAAAACCTTGAGGCTCATGGATGTCCTTACTTCCCAGAAAAATAATGCACAGATCTTCGGAAAAAAATCACAGTCATTATGTAAGCCATGCAAAATGAGACGCACGTTATTTTTAATATCGGTAAAAGTACCACTGGTTCCTTGTCTCACTGCTTCTCAGGTGTTCAGGTTCTCCTTATTCCTTGGCTAGCACTACTCACAAGTGCTGCACAAGAGCACATTTGGGCAGGACGCAGGAACTCTCACACTCAGCACTTTCATTCTGTTTTCTATAAATAAACCCCGAAAGTTTCCAACTCCCCCCTAACAGGTACCTATACCCAAACATTCCCTCCAAACAGAAAACTCGTGAAAACAGTTTGGCAGGACGAGTGACGGCTTAGCCGGGGACGCGGGCGCAGGGAAGTGACCGGGCTTCGCCAGCTATGGGTTTGTGCCGGTGACCGGTGACCGTCCGGCGCTTTCTGCCGTGAGGGCCCCCGCCGGCCGGGCCTGCGGGGGGGGCCGCTGCGGCGTCACCGTGGCCTGGCGGGGACGGGGACGGTGAGCCGGGGCGGAGGCCCACGCTCGCCAACCTCCGCCAAGTGAGAAATGGTTTTACGTCTCTGCCGACAAACCACGTTATTCGGCCGCGCTGAATTCGCTCCTCTGTTCGCGGGGTAGAAGGGATGGGGGAACCGGGAGGAGAGGGGGGCGGTTTGGGCGAGGGGCGCCTCTGAGGCGGGGGTGGAGCGGGGCCGCGCGGGAGAGCAGCCGTGGACAGCCGCCGCCCGCTGGCTTCGCGGGAGCTGCCCGGCGACCGGTGCCTGTCGAAGGGGCTCCGTGCCAGGGCCGGTCGCCGCGGGGCCGTGAAGGCGAAGGCCTCCCAGCGGCGGGGGCGAGCG